GTTACGATATTGGTCTTGACTCATTGATTGTGATTTATGGCTTTTCTAATTTTGCCTCAATTTCTTGAAAATAGCTGGTAAACTTTCATTATCAATTTTCATTTGCAATGAATATTAACTCACTGGAAAATTTGGCGCGATGTAAGATAACAAATGTGCTCCCTGGTCGGGATTCTACTGTACGAGATCGGCCTTCTCATCGCCTCACGTAGTGGCGCTTCGGTTTCGGTCTTACGCTTACGCTTATTCAAGATTTTCGAGATATTTCGAGATCGATTTCCTTTCTCCTTTTTACGATAGGATTATTTAATTAAATTCTTAGTATAATTAAGCCGGATATTTCTAGGAAAATTACACAAATTAAACAAATTAAACAAACTACACACTGTTAATAATTTTCCACTGAAATTTCAAGGAATTTGGTCATTGAAATTCGTAATTTCATGGATAAATTCGTCGAAACTATAAATTTCGGTTTAATTCTTCCAGGGAAATTAATGAAAAATCTGGAAAATTAAGAGAAATCTCTCCTTGAATTCCAGATTGCTCTGAATTTTCAAGGAATTCCTTAAAAAATCCCTGGAATTCCAAGAATTTTAAAGTACTTTCATGAAAACTCACGGGAATTTGGCTGTTAATATTCATTTTCACTTGAAAATTCATGTAAAGTGTGGATTTCCCGTCTTCCTGCCGTTAATAAAAATGCGACTTTATCTGAATTGTTCCGGAAAATTCAACCAATTTTTTTAGCAGTGCAGAACCGTCAATTCATTGGAGTAAACGGCGAAAGATCACCATTTCTCTTGTATCTGCCCTTCGATCCAAAGTAAAAGACGAGATTTCAGGATAATTCTTCTTTGAGATGTTAGAAAAATTATCATTAAACAAAATTATTGTAAAAATGATAATCACATCACAACAACAACTTTATCTGCTCTCCATGATTCAAGGAAAAATGGGGATTTCAATTTCCGCGTATATTGAGAATTTCCGTAGTTTAATAATTGGAAATTGCATAATAAAACAGAGTCATGACATTCGGCACTAAAATCATGAGAAACCCCGTGATAAAAATACCGCGTTCACCATAGGTTAGCACCCTGGCGCTTTATGATCTCTCGTTGACGAGCTTGTTGAATATCTCCCTCGTATGGCGGGATGGAACTGAAGTATTTTCTCCATAGAATTTTCTCATTTCTCCTCACTCATCTCGAGAGGCAGAACCTGCAATGATAGCAATCTCGATAAGAACGAACTTCAAACTCATATCAATTTCATCTTTTTTTTATTCTAGCTGTGATATTGAACCCCTTTGTGAAGAGTTTTATTCAGCCCGGTTTATTGTTAAAAAAAACAGCAAATCCCGGATCCACTTCTAACAAAATGACATATTCATCTCTAGCGAGGGTAGTGCCAAATGCGGTGGCCAGGATTGATGCCTGGGTCGCTGGTTTCACCGCATTGTGTTGCAATCGAAACTCCATTTCAAATCCCAGGAAGGATTATTTATACAGGGTAAAAATCGACAGGCACTGCATCTTTTTTTTCCATCCGATCAATTCCCATTTGTTGAAGATTATTTTCATTCCCTTTTTTCCAACACAAGCCTTATTAGACACTGCCGACAGTATCTCCTTATTCATTGGGGGGCGAATCCTCGAAGATTTTCCCTCGGGAATTTAATCCTCTCGAGGAGTTTCGTACTGCCCGGAAGCTCTGCCATTTCCATAAACCCAGCTACTGTGCGAGCTACTGCCAACCTTCAGAATTGACCCGAGGGACAGTTCTAGGGAAGCTGGTACTTATATCCGTATCTATCTCGGTATCTTCAATATAAATTGATGCTTGTGATGAACTACTTCGGATGTTCAGGAGGATGAAATCATTTTCGATGGAATTACAGCACAGGGAGGATATGGCAGATTCTGGAAGAGAGGATTTATTTATTTTTCAAAATTGGGTATTGACGCAGGTATTGACAAGCTTGAAATTTGTGAACCATCACTTTCTGATGTTATATGGGTAATATATTACGCTATAAATGGAAAGACATTGCATACATTGGTAGTTAACTCAATTCTTCATTGTTCAAAATTAATGAGGCTCAGACAGTCTAGTAGTCATTTTTAGGAAAGCGACATTGAATTTGATTTAGAGTATTGAAATTGTATGGAATTTCCAATCCCATGGGGTTTTCAATGAATATCCGCAACTTATTAGAACTTCTCATTAATTGGAATTTTAAGAATGAGGAAAGGTGGCCCAAAGTGGAATGCTTAACATCATCTTGAAATCCCAATATTCTCGTTTATACGTGGTGAAAAATTCTGAGTGAATTTCAACTCTGGGTTCACATCGAAAGGAGTGAAAACCAGTCCACATAGTTTTCGGTATGCAGGCGATTATTATCTCTATTGATTTTTTTATCAAAATGTAAATTTCCAATTACGAAATTCCTTGAAATTTCATCGGAACGTGTGCTTAATAAAAATTTCCAAGAAGAGCACCAGAAATTTCAGTGAAAATTATTCGAAAATAGAGATACCTCTTTCAATTAATTTATAAAAAATTGTCTTTGACACTTAGAAAAATTCTTTTTAAAAATTACGGTGCCCCTAATAATTTTTTCGGTGTCGCTGAAAAATTTGCACATAAATTTTTCTACAAAACTTCATTTTCCTCATAATGAAGAAAATTCTGCGGCTACTGGAGTCATGCGATGAAGTTTTAGTCAACGTTGGTAAACGTAAATTTGAAGGATATTTCAATGCGGAGCAATCAAAACCGCCCAAGCATACTTCAACGGAATTTCTAAGCGCACCGTAATTCGTAATTCTAAGCGCATCGTAACTATCTGATGTACCACATCATACAAGCCATATAATTAGCGAGGGTCAGAAGTTTGTTCGTTTATATACAAATGCCGTGTCTGGTTTAGCCCCACTCACATTCATTACGTTGAAACTGGCGTGAATGGAGTCCACTGCGGAATGATTTTACAGTTGTCACAGGGGTGAAACAACACTTGATACTGTGGACCCGACCATGATAGAATGTTAAATGATCGTACGTGACGCTCGGCCAGCGTTACATACGGTGGAAACATACCGTGTAGATATACCCCGTGAAAGTTGCTAATTTATGAATCCCAAATGACGGCAACCGTGGTTGGGAATAATTATTGCGGTAACCCATGTTTCATTCAATATCGCCCACAACCTTGTTCGCTTTGATGTACTCTCATTATATGTTTTTGATTATATTGGTCTCAGGAGATTCCCTATACTCGAATAAATGACGCATTTAAATCGAATAAAACCGTTTATTTGACGTTTTTCCAGTCGTTTCAACAATATTTTCATCGAAAATTAATAAACTCGTACATTTGTTTCATTGAAAATAGGAATATTTATTCATGTGGAGCAAATAACTCATGCATTCCAAATAAATGCTTTATCCGGATGATATAACCGATTTATTTGATGTGAATGAAAACCCAAATAAAAAGTAACATTAATTTTGAATGAAATTCGTTTGATTCAAATAAACCTCATTTGATTCAAATAAAATTCACTGAATCGAAAAAAACAATTTCTCTGAGTGTAATACGGATTTGTTTTCTGACTTCTGAAAATACACGAAAAGTTTGGTGAAAATTGAATGGAAAACCTGGTGGACTTGAACAGGAATCAGGATTACCTTTGAATTTTTGGTGTGAACCCCTGAATGCGTGTCCGAACATTTCAGTTAAAACCTACTTCATGGAGAGGTGCACTCCCGACGGAATGCATGAAGATAGTAAAAAGTACTAGTTGGTAAATCTAATTTGTAATGAATGTAATTACACGCCATTTCCCCACCGGCACATTAATATACTATTGAGATGAAGGGAAAAATTTCGGACGAACAAAATTTTTTCTCTCTGATCCAGGAATGCAGCCCCATTGAGAGGTATTTTTCATGTGACACTCTCTGAGTACACGGAAGAAAATAACATAGGAAAGTACGATGTGAATTTTGTCGTAAAGGGCCACACTATCTAGGGAAACCAACAAATTTTGGTTCATTTGCATCGAATTACATGAGTGATGAATTATTTTTTTTACGTTCTAGCATCACAAAGAAAAAAATTTGTTTATTTTCAGGAATGTATCCCCCACTTATAACTGAGAGAAAAATTGCCTCGGATGTAGACCATATTTACTTGAGAGAAATAAATTATTTCCAATTACTTAAATCTCAGAATGTTTGCGCTTCACGGACCTCGAAAATAAATTCCAATTTATCACTATCGCGCCCCGTTACATCATGAATATATGACCTATCGGATTTTTGCAACAAAATCATACTTGAGTACAAGAATATTTTAAAGCATAAGACGTTTGCCTGATGCCTGGGAGAATTAAGCGATTGAAGGAAAATTACTTGTCTCAAGTAAATTTGTTTCAGATATTAGAAATATTTTTCTCAGTGTACTAACGTTATCACTAATTTCCGGATTTTCAGGGATCTATATCTAATTTTCAGGAATTTATCACCAAATTTCAGTCATCAAACTCACTAATCTGATCTCTGATGATCACGGTTATTATAGTCAGTGTCTAGTATCAAAAATTATTGTTAATAGATTTTTAAAAATCAGTGACGTGTTTCCGAAAATAAAAACAAAATTCTCTGCGATTGTAATTGTAACTGCAATCTCAATATCGAAAAGCGAGGAAAATAAAAAATAATCGTTTAGCCGATAAAAAAAATAATCTAACGTAAAAACCACCTCATCCTGCGTTGCAATGGTTTTCTTTCCTTATTCAAACGTCGAATTGAATGCGGTTGTGTTAGGAAAAACTACGATGTTAAATAGTGAACAGCCCACATCATCAAGGCTCTATACAATTCACCCCAACAGGGGTTTTACCTTAAAAATTGCAAACATTCGTTATTTCACAAATTCCATATTTCACAAATTACAAACTTTATAGTTCAATTCGCTGCTGTTTCAGGGTGAGGAGAGCCAATATTCGCTGGATGGTATATTCGAGTGTCTACCCTGTGCCGAGGGTTGCGAGTCGTGTGAGGATGGCTCACCCTGTGTCGTATCCCTAAATTGGCTCATGAGAACTGCTATTCTCATACTGGAATGCTGTGTTATTGCCTGTCTACCAGCCGTCATCCTTTTCACATGGAAATTCGGCAACGTCAAGGTCAGTGAAACCTGAAATACTCGGATGAAACTCTATCCCTACCTCTCCTCAAGAAGTTTATCACCCTGAAAACATGTACCGAATTACTGATCTGAGTGGATTTTTCAATGATTATCAAGAGTCAAGGTCACACTGTTTAACCTTGCTGAGTTTAGATTCACGACCCGGATACCACGCGATTGCCCCAAAACTGCTTAGCGCTGTAGTCTTTGGGGTGCATGTTATCACGTTCAATCGATCGTAATCGAGTCTTTTCATAACGAACAATGCCTATATGTGGGGAAAAAATTTCAATCAAGCGCATTCTCAATGTGAGTGTATAAATGACTACCGAAAATGTCGATTTTGCGCTTGACAGAGTTCCGCTATTGCTGTAAATTATTTAAAATCAATTCTGCAATATGATTAAAAATTTGTCCGTGAATTTTCCATATTGAATCCTGGATGTTTTCATCAGTCGACATTCCCGCTAAAATGCGACGGAGTATGGTGACTGAAAAATCGTGTATTCCATCAATTTTGAACTCAAATTATTGCGAACTCGAAGCAAGCTGCAAATTTCAGTTTAATAATTCCATGAAAATACGGTAAAATCGGGGCAATTCACATGTAGAATCGCATCTAATAGAAATTACATGACAAAAAATAATTCTGGTACGAAAGCCTTTTTGGCCTATGAAATGAAAAGAAATTCTTTACGTTATTTTCATGATACTTTTTCTAAAAGTTCTGTCTGCGTGTGAAAACTCAGGACAGTTTTCAGTTTCAGTAGAGCAACTGAATCCGATTTAGATGGGAAAAAATTATGGAATTTCAAATTTCACTGAAAATTCAATTTAATTCAACATTTTTGAGCAGCAGAAAGTTGTGAATTCCTCGGCTTATTGAACTTCCACCGAAAACATGAATATTCAGTACTAAATTACACTGTATTTCCAATTAATTGAGAATTTATAAACATTTTTATCTGAATTTTCCTCATTCCCATCGATTTCCTGGAAATAATCGCGATCGATTGCGGATTTTTAATGACGGAATTTCTTGAAACTTCAGTGGAACTATAAATGATAAAAATTTCCAGCAAAAAACTTCCAACAGTGAATTTTCAATCAGAGTGTGCGTGAAAAAAATTGAAATTGTTTACAGCAGTAAAGATACGAAATGCATGAACATCGTCCAAGAAATACTGTGAACATTCACATAACAGAAACGAAAACTAGGCGACAAACGGAGAACTCCTTCATATGTATGGTTCCTTCCGCATTAATTAGAGCCATTCTCACCTCCATGAATTATTATCTTGGAAACGAAAACCAGAGTTTGTGGTGCACAAAGAACGAGAATAAATCAAATTCTTTAGTGTCTGACCATCACTCGAAGTAAAGCTTTGGAATGCAGCTGGTATGTTGTATCCCAGTATTTTCATTTGGTCTCTCGAAATACATGCATGCTGAACGCCCGCAGTAAATCTCCCAGTGATATGGAAAAATTCCAGTTATTTTTTATTCAACAGGATATTCATCATTTTTAGAATACAAAACAATTTTCCATTTCATCACGTGCCCTAGTAACATGCGTTGAATTCACCACCTCTTCCATACTCTAAAAAATATAGTTTATTGTCCAGAATTACTTACACACTTTGGTGAGTTGAATATCAAAATTTAGTATTACCCCGAGTCGAATAATTGGACCTGACAAATTCTACTTAGGTCTCTCCGTTCAGAACTGGATAGGTCTTGGGAAGCCTCTTCCCAAGTGCTTCCGAGACCTTTCTACCTCTGGTTATGTCCCACTTCAGCACTTGTTAGGTGTAAGCAGGACTTGCATTCAGACTTTCCAAATCCTTGCCGGTCCCCGTAATTCTATGGGCCTATATTAAATCTGCGTTCATATCCCTATTTACTCATGCGTTATTGAAATAAAAAATGCAATTATTGTTTTTTTTTTAATCTCGAAAATCGACATTTCACGGGAGGGTGGAGGGGAGATGCATGTATGCGGAGTCTTGACATTTTTATCCAACAAGCGGAGAAGGTTGCAGAATCTATTCTAGCCACTCTTGCCCCTCCGCTTGCATGCATTGTCCAAATAAAAAAAGAAAGTGTTAACAAATCTGACCCTTGTTCCAAGTAAAAACCGAAAATCTGACCCTGTGGCCGCCGGTGAAAATTTTTTTTTTCAGTTTTCACTTTTTCCACATACTTTTGAGAGTTCTGAATAGCCCGTCGCTTAAATAGTTGGAATCAACGTTCACCCAGATCCGATCAATTAGCCCCTCATGTATAGATATTCCAAATTTAATAAAAAACATTTGCTAGTTAGTACTTTTTTTAAAATAAATTTTTGAAAAATCACCCCTGAAAAAAAAGGCGTTATTCCCCCTATTTCATTATTTCCAAAAAATTTTATCACCAATCGGTAGCAAATTGTTTGAAGATTTTTGCGAGTTAAGAAAAAATCGTCAATGCACTCCTATTATTGGGTAAATTAACAATTCCAATTTCAACTGAAAACCAGAGTTGATGACCAGAGTTTGTCGCAGAGATGCCAGACAA